ACTTTTTAAGTAATGCGAAATAATGTGAAATATCCAAGAACTGACGAAACATTTGGGGGGTGGTTTGGCCCCTACGTGTCTTTCCAGGGTGGAGACACTTTGACAACGGACAAGCCGTATCGTATCGGTGTAGATGATAGGCGAAAGTCATTCACAATTCACGCATGAGTACGGACGGGGCATCGATTATATGATCAGTGATAACAGCAAGTGTCGTTTTTAAGCTAACCCTCCTAACGCATGTTTGTTTGTTTGCTTTTACTTTAGCGTCGGAAGCCAAGTTGACTGAAATTGGAAAAGAGACCGAGAATTGGTGTTGAGAGCCTGTCAGAGGACTTGATAGAGACTGCCAACAATAGGAGGCAGTGCCTTAAAATTGACTTTGGACACAATTTTTATATATTTAATTTCTAAGTTTAATTTTTTTCCGAGCCTAGTTTGTCTTTATTTGTTTGCTCGTTTGTTTTGTCGTCAAGCCATTGTCAGAGCGAGCAGAGATTTCACAATTTCTTGCAAGTGTAAGACAAAAATGAAGACTTTATTTCAGTGATGAAATGATGAAATGTCCGGGACAATTCTAAAAGAAAAGACTTTTCGGTTTGCCACCTGTTAGACAAGCGATTCAGCGATTTATTGGTGTGATAATCATCCAATGATTTTTCTACAGTTGTTTAATTTCCATTTAGATCTCTCTCCATGAAAAAACAATTCAACCAAGCCAGTTTCAATGACGTTTGTTTGTTTGTCCATGCAAGGGTTTCTTGATCGGCAATATCGCCCCGGTGAGTAGAGGTTAGGTGTATCACGTGATCTATTGCGGCCAAACAGTTCAACAGAAAAAATCCTGCTGGATTATAGAATTATATAACTGAAGATTGTTATTAGTCGTGTTCCGAAGGTACGAATAATCAAGCTGTTGTAACTGAATACATCGAACTGTTGGACTCAATAAGTTGAGGTCGCAAATTGTAAAAATAATAATTTTAATCATTCTTAGCATTTATTGTTGAGAAATAGTTTTAGTAAGGTGTCCCTACTGTAATTAATTGACAGTTATCTCTCGATTTAGCGTTTTTCAGACGTTCACATTTTTAAATGTGTAGTAACCTAAAAGTTACTCTTAGATTTAATGACTAATTCAAGTACCAGTACTTATCTTAGACACGGGTCCCGGGGGAAGAGTTCCTTATAAAAAGGACGGGGGTGCTCGTCGAACCTTTTAGTGGTAAAAAAAAAAAGCGACCTTGGTACCTCTTAGGGTGATCAGCCTTAAGGTGTCTCCATAGGGTAATCATTTATGGCGTTGCGCGCGCAAGTGTTATGTTTTGAATGCTGTTTTTGCATTCGCTTTCTCACCTAGTCCTCTCAAACTTAGTACATGTAATAAGCAATGATAAAATAGTATTTTGCTATCATCTCTGTTAAAATCTGGGGATCTGATCTTGAATTATAAATGCCCAAACAAATGTGTTTTTTACTGTTTTTATGGCTTTATTTGTGATTTTCATGA